CAACGGTGTCCCCCGTGAAGCCTGAGAGAGGGGTTTTGAGGGGTTCAAGTTGTGTTCGACACAACCTGAGTTTTTGGAAGGTCTCCAGGTATAAGATGTTGACACTGCTGCCGGTGTCAACAAGTACCCGGGCGACATCCACCCCATTAATGTCCATGGTGATGACCAATGGATCATTGTGATCTTCACCGGTAGGGGGAGATCCCGGTCAGTAAAGACGATCGGCTCCCTCCTAGTATGTTTACGCCTGGGCGGTTCAGCACTTACTTCTCCCACGTAAATGCTCCGGACCCAGTTCTTCCGCTGCGCGGCTGAATCTCCGCCCTCGGGTCCGCCGAAGATCATGCCGATGTGTTCTTTTTCGGGGGCAGGTTGCCGCTCCCTTGGCCGGTTATTCCTTCGCCGGTCATTGTCCCGGTCATTCCCTGGGGCAGCTGGCCTAACCCATTGATGACTCTTCTCCTGGGCTTTCTGCAAGTAATCTTTGCCCAGCTCTCCGCTATCGATCATCTGCCGGATGACCCCCTTAACACTTTTACATTCGGAGGTGTTATGGGAATCTGACCTGTGGTATGAACAATAGGTGCCCGACCACTGCCGCCCTACTTGACCGGTAGGGTTTTCTGGAGGAATGACCAGTGCTTTCCGGACTTCTTGGCATTCCTCCGTATTGACCACTCGGATGACCAGGTCATAGTGGTGCCTCGGCCGGCTAGGTCCTGGTGCTTCTTCCTTCTTGACTTGTACCGGCTTGGACTTGTGACCATGCTTAGCTTCTCTCTTTGCTCGGAGCTGGGTTTCGGCTTCAGCAAACTCCCATGCAGTATGGTAGGCTTCTTGGTACGTGGCTGGGGGTTTCCGGCAGAATTCCTTGTATAGTTCCCCAGCACGCAAGCCATTCAAGAGGAGGGATAGGACGATCTTGTCATCCATCTCTTCCACCTTGTCCACCTCTTCCTTCCACCGGGTAAGGAATTGAGCGAGGTTCTCAGATTCCCTCTGCCCGGCTGTACTAAGATAGGTGAACCTCTTCCTCTTAGTACAATTCTCCTGGAACTTGGCCTTGAACTTTGAGGCCAAATCACTGAACGAGTCAATGCTTCCCGGGCGAAGCTTATTGAACCATTCAGTGGCTCGGTTCCGCAAGGTCTGGAAGAAAAGAAGGTACTTTTCTTCATCGGTGCAACCGTTCATGGTCGCACTCTGGTTGAAGGAGTCCAGATGGATTTCCGGATCTTCCTTCCCGGTGAATCTGGGGGCGTCGATCCTGACCTTTCGCGGGAAAGGTGTCAGATGGACCCTTGTGGTGAACGGGGACCCTGCCAGGGGTTTGTCCCGATCATTCTTCTCTCCGACCTTCTTTTCCAGCCTTTCCAGCTTTGCCTCCATCTGCTGGACGCGGTCGTTTAGGATGGCTAACCGGTTCGCCACCGGTAACCTGGGCTGGCTTTCTGCCTCCCCTTCCTGGTGGGAGGCCCTCGTCCTCGCTGGCTCCTGCCGGTTAGACCGGGAGCGCCGGGTGCGGGCAGGCTCGGCCTCCCGCACCTCGCCTAGCCGGGCGAACGCGCTGACATGGGCAACGCTCTGCCCCAGCCTTTGCTTGGCTGACTTCCTCTGGCCTTCCTCCCTATCCCCCAGCCTTTCGAAGGCGGAGTTTCGGGAGGTCGCTGGCCGGATGTTTTTTCCTTTCTTCTTCTTGTGGGCCCTCAGGATGTCCCACTCGCCGTCATCGCTCTCAATTGAGATGCAATGACCATCAGGAGTGACCTGCGGATCCGTAGCTTGCGGGGGACGCGACGGCCCCGCGGCGTTAAGTGCGCCGGTCAGGTTGACAGGGGCCATGGTGCTGACCAGTTGGGGCTAGAAAGGTCGTGTTCTGTGGCATCGGCATCCGGAACGACGTCACCGCCATCGGAGCTTGTAGGGGCATGGTCCCCGCGCCTGGAAGGGCGAATGGGAACATACCAGGGAGGAAATGCATCCCCCCGTTCTGCTGGCACATGGCCATGACCTGGCCAAAGCCCTGGACGGCTTGTAGGTTGGCTGGGTCATTCATGAACTGAGTCATGCTTGGCGGGAACGTTACCCTTGGTCCAGCGGAAGGGACGGGGGTCACGAAGGGACTGAGACCTAGAGGCAACACCGGGGCTGAAATGACCGGTATGGTAACAGCCACAGGGATGCTGGCGCCCTCATTGGTGGCTTGCACCTGTGCGGAAGTAGCGTTGATTTGTTGGCTGGAAGACATTTCGAGTGGTGTTTTGGTGGGTAGGTTTGTGTTTAGGAGAAGAAACCTTAACGGTCCCACGGATGGCGCCAAAAATGATGGTGTAAATTACTTGACCGGTCAAACTATACTAGACCGGGTCTAGGATAGTTTGCTTGATTTGGCAAAGTAAGAAAGGTAAAAACACGCAGACTGACCGGTAGGACTTTAGGTGGAACACCTGTAGCCCAATTTATATTATAACGGAGAATGCCCGGGTGCTTTTACAAGGGAGTTTAGAGAGAATGAATTCGGA